TGAAAAAAATGAACTCCTATTGTTTGGTTGGGTGTTCTACTTGCAGCTGAAAGCAATCTAACAGACACACTAGGAATAATAGTTAATAATACCAATAATTGGATTAAAAATAATTTGATTTAACTGAAACCCTTGCCCAAAGTAAAAAAGACAAAACAGAACAGAGATAAATGTAAAGTTTCTGCATTAGAGATAAAGATTAATTGCTGTATTAGCATAAAATATAAACGAATATAATATATATTATATATAACACGTATATATAATATATAAAATTACGTTTGTCAAAAATACGGTAGATGTAAAAGGCTACTGGCAGAGTGGGAAAATTCTAGAATACACGACAGAGAAGAGGTTGGTATTCTTGCACAAAGAACTTTTGCAAACCAGTAAGAAAATGGCAAAATCACTCCGATAGAAAAACAGTAAGGAATAAGAAAAAGCAATTCTCAAAAGAAGAAACATAAATAGCTGACTAATGATAAAATTCAGTCTCACTGTCCACAGTAGGGAATGCAAATTAAATACAATAAAACCTGCAAGGGCATATTCAGGCCTGAAACTTTCGGGAGCTGGGTCCTCCAAACTCTACATGCAAAATTAAGTCTGAATGTAAATTATAAATAAAGCTACAACGAACGAGTCTTTTTATGGACATGCGTATGCCGTACTCTTTGCTAAATAAAAAAATGGAATTTCTGAGTCCTATATATAGCGTATGTTTTACTTTAAAAGAAACTGTCAAACCATTTTGGAAAAACCATTTTACATTCTCATTGGCAGTGTATGAGAGTTGCTCCTCACTCTCATCAGAACTGGGCAAAGTCAGTCTTTAGTTTTAGCCATTGTAGATGGGTAGTGGTATCTCACTGTGGTTTCAAGTTGTATTTCCTTAATGATGTTGAGCATCTTTTCACGTCTTTTTTTTTTTTCTTTTTCTGTCATCTGTATATTTTCGGTGAAATGTCTTCAGATATTATATATTTTAAGATATTGGCTAATTCCATCATTTCTGTCATTTCTTGGTCTGTTTCTATTGATCTTTTTTCTCTTGCTTATGAGTCATTTTTTTCCCCTCTTTTCTCTCTCTTTCTCTTTTTAAAGATATTATTTATTTATTTGAGAGAGAAAGAGAGAGAGCACAAGTGGGGGGGTGGGCAAGGCAGAGGGAGAGGAAGAAGCAGATTCCCAAATGAGTAGGGAGCCTGAGAGTGGGCTGGATCCCTGGACCCCAAGATCATGACCTGAGTCAAAGGTAGACACAACCAACTGAGCCACCCAAGCGCCCCAGTCATGTTCTTTTTCATGCTTAATAATTTTCGTTTGCATGTTGGGCATTATACATTTTACTATAGTGAGTATTGGATTTTTCTGTTTTTCTTTAAATAGTGTTGAACTGTTTGTTGGTTGCTTGGTTCGTTTCTCTGGAGCACAGTTATGTTACTTGGGATAAATTTGATCTTTTTGGCTCTTGCTTTTAAGCTGTGCTAAGGAAAGTCCAACTCAGTTTTTAGTCTTAGAGCTAATTTGCCCCTAATACTAAGTCCCCTCTTGAGAGCTCTAGCCAGTGTCTCATGTATTAAGAGGTCTCTCCATTTTGGCTTGTGTTCAGGTGATATATTCCCAGCTCTGTGTGAGCTCCAGGAATTATCCGGCACACTGCTTTTTGATGGTTCTTCCCCTGGCTTCCTGTAATTTCACCCATGCGTGCTCTGAATTGTATTCAGTTAAAGACTTGAAGGGTTCCCTCTTTGGATCTCTGGATCTCTCTCTCCCTCCCCCCCAACTCCCTCCTCTCTGATCTTCTGCTCCCCCAATTTTAGCCGCTATAGATCCCGAACTCTGATCTCTGTCTTTTGAGCTCTTTGAGATTGCTGGGCTCTGTTCAGGTCCCCTCTCCCCAATCTTCCCTGTGCAGTAATACCTGGAAACTGCATTGAGACAGCAAACTAGAATAATTGTAGGACTCATATAAGTTAGTTTCCCCTATCATAGCTGTCATAATCCCTGGCTGCCTGTTGTCCAATGCTTACAGTTGCTTGGTATATATTTTTTTCCCTTAGTTTTCTAGTTGTTCACAATATAAGGACCATTCCTATGGCAGTTAATGCTTCATGAATGAGAGTGGAGTCTCTTTTTCCTATTTTCAACTTTAAAAATCCTGGGGGAGAACTTTTGCCCAGGTTATGTTCAGTGATCACCCGTGAGCCCATCAAAGTAGTAAGGACTACAAAAGAAAATGATGCTTTTTAAGACTGAAGTATGGGCAGAATCATTTTCTAATACAAAATGGAGAGATCTTCTTAGAAGAAAGGGGAAGGGTGTGGGGCAAAAAGAGAGAAGCAGCATTCATCGTAACAACAGTTGGTGTGAAAAAGAATAAAAAGTGAAACAACTGATAAGACCAAGAGTTCCTTGTTGAGAAGGCTGTGTCCAATCCCTGGCCTTGTGCATTCCAAGGTCAAGGACAAACTGGAGGGGGGGCTAGGGAGGAGAGATGTAATATGTGTAACAGTTGGCCTGAGATAAAATGAAGTAAAAACACAACTTTCTTCTCTCTCCAATCTTTCCCCTCCTCTGCCTTTTGAAATTTGCTGTGTGGAACATTTTTCCCAAACCTTGACTGAATTCTGGGGTTTGTCCCATTACTTTTCTGGTCTTTTTCAGACAACAGAGAGACCTCCAGATATTTTAATCCCATGAATGGTCTCACTTCATGAATTAAACTGTCTGGTTCTGTGTAATAGTAAAATTCCATTTATAGAAGAATTCCATTTATAGGAATAGGGGACATGCTTCAGAAGGAAAACAGTATGCGGAGAGATTCTGTTTCTCCACCAGAAGGATATCTTTGAACCATAATATTCAACTCCCTACAATAGCTAATAGCATATACTGACCTTTCCAGGGATTTGGGGGTGGAGAGGCGAAGGGCATGGATGGAGGAGAGGGGTCTCACAAAGGTCCTATTTACTTGTTACTGTCCTGATCTACCTAGTAGATATTTCAATCTTTTTCTTACAGGGTATTATCTTAACCGTGTTATCTCGGGTAAGGCATAGTGAGGCTAACACAGATAAAGAGAGAGAAACCAGAAAGTTTTACAGTTTTGTTACCCTGCAAGTTCCCCGGACAGAACACAGCATGCCATAAAGGGCGTAAACCCTGGATAGGTTATAAGGCAGAGGGAGAGAGGGGAACTGTGGTTTCTGCAGGAAGTAAAGAGGGAGGCAGAACAAGCAGGTTTAGCATTGGCCTCTCTGAATAATTTCATTGGGCTCTAGGGCAAAGGAGCTGTCTCTGGTAGTCTGGTACCTGATCCTGGAGCAATTAGGCCTGAAGAGTGAGAGCCTGATAAGGAGGTGGTTCAGGGTGTGGACTTAATGGGCTATGCAAGAAGGGGAACTAACCAGCTTCTAGCGAGGACCTCAAAACTGGGTCAAGACGGCATTTAACAACAACTAAACTAAGCTAAATTACAGGTATTTTATGGGTCCTTTGGAAACCCCTTGTCATAGATGTCTCACCTCCGTCCCTTTATTATGGGCGAGGTCTTTCTTCTTCCTGCAATCTGTCTCTGTTCCTCCCTCTCTCTCTCTCTCTCTCTCTCTCTCTCTGACACACACACACACACACATACACACACACACACACACACACACACACATTGCTAGCACATTTCCAGCCTCTTTCTGTCAAAGTCTGAGGTCTCCTTGCCTCTGCTAGTAAGCCATGTTGGGCAGGGCTCCTTTAAAGAAAGCTTCAAGCTAGCTCTCTCTGGTGCCTCTCACATCTGACACTGAATTATACATGACATGAGCATCAGTAAAGGGGAATAGTGCTCTGGGAGAGCACCATGGAGGGGGATGAGGAAGGCAGAGGCAGAACAGAGGAACAAAGTAGATAAAGGTTTTCCAAGCATAAGGGAATAATGTATCAGAACTTATATAATAAGGGCCAGGACCCAGGTGAGGAAGGTGAAGCATTTGCCTTAGGGGCAAAATTTAAGGGCGTGCCATAAAAAAACAGTTATCAAGATAAATAATATTTAATGCAATTTAAAAAAATATCTAAGGATACCATTTCCCCTTTTGCTTAAGGCACCAAAATGCCTCAGCAGGGCACTGGTGCTATGCCCTAGCAGCTTCTAGCTTCTTCCTGGCCAGATTGTATCCCTGAGCCAATTCTACAAAGCAATGCTGGAGCGGCCCCCTAGGAAAGGCCTTCCTCAACAAATAACCTTTTATCTGAGTCTTGGAGAAGGAAGTGAGGCATGGAGTGTATGAACAGGAGAGAGGGAACAGCACACCTGCGAATCCAAAATGCCTCAGTTGGAAAGAGTTAGATGGCTCTTTGGGGAATGGTGGTGGCAATGATTTTGCAGGCAAGGACCAGATTATGAAAAAATTCTTTAGTATTTTAACTAGGGGAGACAAATGCCCAGATTTGTTTCTTATGCATATGATGCTTTGTTGGGGGACAGATTGGAGGGGTCAGGCCTGAATACAGGTAAGTTCCTTAGGAGGCTAGTGCAGGGTCCAAGTGAGGGATGACCGCATCCCCAACCAGAACAGGTGAAGCTAGATTCCCAAGGTCCAGGTCCAGGCCTTGGTTCCCCCCCATAACCCTGAAGGTGGGGCGGCACCCGGGTGTCCTGCCAAAGGGGCCACCTCGGGGTTCCATTGGAGCGCCGGGTGCACCAGGGCGCGGAGGAACCGCCCAAATTCAGCCTCGGGCTGGGGCGATGGGGTCGGGGCGGGTCCCGCGGGTGCCCGACCTGCTCACCGCCCAATCGCCGCGGGCCCGCCGAGCCCCGGGGGGCTGGGGCCACCGCCGCCGCCGCCGCCGCCGCCGCCGCCGGAACGTGCCGCGGCTGCGCTGACGCGCGAGCGCCGGGCAGGGCGGCGGGCGCGCTCAGTCTGGTGGCGGCGGCGGCCGTGCGCGGACCGACGTTGCCGGAGCGCCGCAGCCGCCCGCTCCGCCCGCAGACGAGCCGAGCCGCGCCGCGCTGCCCCGGCGGCGCCCGCTCGCCCGCCCGCCATGGTGTCATGGATCATCTCCAGGCTGGTGGTGTAAGTGGCCTTCCCCGCGCCCCTTCCTTCCCCTCCTTCTCCGCCCCTGGTCCCCGGGCTGCGCGGGCCCCTGCAGCGCCCGGCCCCGTTCGCTCTGGCTATTAATACCCGGCGGCCGCTAAATTTAGCAGGTACAGTAGCTGCCGAGGACGCCTGCAAGCGGGCGACACAGGACGCGGCTGCTGCCCTGCGGGCCCGGGCCCGGGCGCGGGGGACAGGCGGGCGGGGCGGCGAGGGCGGGGGCGCACGGGGACTGCGCTGGCTGCGCCCCGCAGCGCCCCGGCCGCTTTTGTTCCCCGGGTGGGTGGGATTTGCAGAGGCCCCGAATGGGCGCGCCGCTGGGACACGCGTCTGTCTCCTTTGGGAGAAGCGCTGGCGGGGTCTGCCGTCGCCGCGCCGCGCCGCCGCGCTTTTGTCAGGTGAAAATGACAGAGCCCAGCCGAGCCTGGGGCGCTGCCTGGAGGGGTCGGCGCGGAGAAGGGTGGAGAGATGAAGGCGAGTCTCCTACTGGGATTGAAAGAATACTCCTTTTTAGGTTTCTCAGATTGACAGCGGTAAAGGCAAGTAGGACACAGCGGGGACGTGTAGGAATCTTGGGGCAGACGCCTGGCGGACCCCATGTCTGATTCCTTTGACGGAGGTCTGAGGGAAAGATAGGGGCAGGCATCTCCAGAAATTCACGGGAAATTTCTAAGTGACAGCCGCTCAGGTGGTGGCAATGACACCTCCCAGGCCTTGTAGGAGAGCGCAGAGTCATCTGGGGTGAGGCCTCTGTGAAGTCATTGGGGGTGGGTGTGGGGGGCGTTTTTCTCTGTCAAGCCCCAGAGCTGAGTAGACATTTGAAGAGCTCCTTCCCTCGTGGATTTATTTGCCTTTGGAGCTACACATGGCTGTAGCAGTTCCTCTCCTTCCCTAACCATTTTTGCCTGAGTCAGGACAGATTTGCCACCTGCTCAGGGGAGCCAGGGCTGAAATTGGCCTGGAGAGTGTGGGTGGGAGGTGCACCTCAGGCTCTTTCTTTGTCTGGGAAAGAGGGGCTCCAGACTCTGGTTCATTGTGCACCATCACTCCCAACGTTGTGAAATATCTCCCATCTCCTGTCCTTCTTTACTGATTTTCTAAGAAGTGGCCAGAGGCAGCCTTCTGAAGTCATTCTCAGCATTGTAGCCCTGCCACCATTCTGGGCTTTCATCCCAAAGCCAGTGTTTGTGCCTCTTGGCACCCAAGTCATCCATTCTATGCAGCGCTCTCCACAGCTGTTGCGGACTGCTGGGGTTTGTGCTGTATCTCGAGGTGGCATGTTAAATATTTAGAAGATTTCTGAGGGCGGAGCTGGCATGAATAATACAGGGAAGCGACTGGAACGCCTTGCCCCACCTCATGCCTGACCAAGGCCTGTCTTGCCTTCAGGGTGGTATTTTTTTCTCCTGAACTAGTGTGTGATCTTCATATTTGGCAGTGACTTCTGGGGAGCCCTCAGGGTGTGGCCGGAGACTCCCATTGGCCTGGCTGGAGAGCTCATTTTCTATAGGTTCTACTGCACTAGGCCTGGCCCCCTGGAGAGTGAGGGCTTCTAGTCTGGGGTCCATGTGACCATCTTTAATTTTATGAGCATTCCTCCTCTCCTACTACACAAGGCAGCTGAGTGGAGTAGAGAAAAGAGGCATCTCTTGGGAGGGGTCTCAGTGTTGCTGTTATTTTTTAAAACCATGCTCCCTAGAAGTGAAGCTTCAGAGAACTTAAATGACAGGAGAACTGCCCCTCAGGTCAGCCCAGGACCCTCTGCCCCAAGGGAGAATTTGTGGGATTTGGGGGTGTTATTTCCTCCGTCAACTCCAAAAGGTCAGGGATACCACCTATCTCCTGATCACTGTCTTTATAGAAACCCAACATGGAAGTGTCAGGTGTCAATTATTAAAAGCCAATTTAGTTAGCAGTACCGGTTTCACTTAAATAATAGCCTGCTCATTATAGGAAAATCAGAAAGTATAGATAAATAGATTGAAGATCATCCACATTATCATCACACAGAGATAGCTAATGGTAATTGTGAAAGGTCTCGTCTTCAAGATGTTTTTCCTATGCATATATGCACATACATTTATATTTCTAGTTCAAGGCATTTATTGATTCAGCTCAAATTTCCGCATCCCTCTTAGCAAGGAATAGGAATACTGAATTTGGAGTCAGAAAACCCTCGGTTCAAATCCCAGTTCTGTCTCTTGCCAACAGATGCCAGTTCACAAGAGATCCTAGTTCAGGAGCTAGTTAACCTCATGTTGCCATTACAAAGATTTCAAGAACACGTGATTCATAAATTGCGGAGCATTTCCGTTCCTCCCACACACCAGATAATTAAGAGAGGGCCGAGGTAAGAGCTCTGGAAGGGGCTCTCAGACTTAATCTACTCCTGTGTTTTGCAAACTGGCTTCCCTGAGGGCCACCCAGCCTGAGTGGGTGGGCTCTGGGCTCCCAGCCCTGATCAATGGGAGTAACTCCCCCTTTGGTGGTTTGTATATTCGGGTTCTAAATAAAAAATAATTTGAGAAATATATGGATTTTAGCACTAATGAAAACCACCCATCCCTTCTCCCCTCTCATCTGTAAAACTGTAGAGGGAGTGTGCCTTGCCCAAGGACACAAGGTGAGCTGGTGAAGAAAACAGGCTCCGGATTTTTGGTCCAATGCCCTTTCCACCTGTGCCCGTCCTTGACAATTGTCTAAAATTGACCTCTTTCAAGCTCCCAAGACCTCTGCTCTGGCATCCTGTGATTTTTGTCCACCAGTCCCATTTCCTATAAGAAACTTTTTCAAGGCTTTGTAAGCCTCTGTGACATGAAAGAACATTTAAGGAAGACCTATCCCTGTGTTCTGAGGATGGAGAGGGAGTGTCTTCCTTCCAACCAGATCCCTCAAGACGAGCTGATGGCGTCCAGGCAGAGCCACATGGTGCTTGTAGATACCTATCTTGCCATTGGCTCCGAGTGTTTTTAGGACTGTAACCTTGGCTTATTTCCCTTTCTGACCCCTCGCTTGCTCCCAAGGCTCTTCTCTGAAGTTCCTGGCACGTTGCGTTCACTCAGTGAAGGCTGGTTGTGTGGGAGGAGCTCAGAGGTCCTGGGATAAGCGGGGGAGCCAGCCAGTGTTATCCCCTGAGCACAAAGGTTAGTGGGCATCAAGACAGGCTTGCGCCTACTGGGAAAGCTCTTGGAGTGAGAACCAATTGGAGATGCTGCTTTTTTGCTAGTTGTTTTCCTCCTAACTCCATTGGCTCAGCCTAGGAAGAATTAAAGATGAAATATTCAGTGTAGTGGCAAAGCTGGCTTTGTTAGAATCTAGCTGATATCTGCTTGGAACACGGGGCTTGTTTATGACTGGCCTGCTTGCCTCATTTACAAGACTCAGTTTTCTTTACAAAGAACTCAAGCCTTAGGCACCAGTGAATTTTAAACTGGGGAGAGTAGGTTTATGTGCCCTGGAGGATTCACACAGAGGTTGCTTTCTGCCTTCTTGGGAGAATGCACTATCTTGAAGCATTTATTCCAAGGAGCAGGTGTTGGTCGCATTGTCTTTGGACAGAAGTTTGGCTGAGGCCCAGGATGTTGGCTAAATGAATCCAGAGCTTCCCCTTTGGTTATTGGACCAAAACTCCAGTTCGCTATGTGGGGAAAAGAGAGTTCTAATTTTAACAATTCTCCAAATAACTAAAAGCTGTACAGAAAACCCTTATTTTCACAGTGCACTTCTTTTTAAAAAAAAAAAAAAAAGTCAGTTTTTAGAAGGTCCAGTCTGATGTTTAAGAGAGTCTTAGTTTAATGGCTACAGATCTGGCTATGTCCCAGGACTGTGATTTGGAGCATAAAGTCTATCTGTCCCAGTCAAGGATGTATAAATAAAGAAGACTAGAAAGAATGTGAGTTGTCCTCAAGATATTCTTCAACTGTTGCAAAACAAATGGAAGTAAATGAAAAGGCCATGCATCCTTAAACATGGACTTGCCTTTCTTTGGAGCTTGCTTTTAAAAAGTGGAATGCAGAAAAATGATCCCATTAATTGGAGGTTTAGGTTGGTTGAGGATTTATTTCCTGGCACTCTGGCATGGTATAGGGTAGGAGCTGGGTAAATCTTTCAGATGAATCATGAGAGGGGGAAATGTTGAGCTGGAAGTCAGAGGATTTGGGGTCTAGTCCCAGCACTGGACTGACCCACTGTTATAATCCGGAGGGTACCTGCTCCCACCCTGGGGCCCTGCTCCTGGTCTGTGAGATAAGGCTATGGACCAGTATCACGTTGGAGGTCCTGGTGCCCCTCTAGACCCCTTCCTTGTCCCCTTCTCCCCCAGCTGGCCCACATGCACCGTGTTTATAAACAAGAGGAATATCCTCAGGAAGTGAAAAATACCAACTTCAATTTCACTGCTGTTCTGCTGCCTTGGTCTTTTGGTTTATTAATCCTTCCTGCCTGCTGGGAAGTTGCTTCTGGGCACTTTGCTCTGTTATGTCTTCTTTGAAGGATAGCTGACAAGTGAGGGTTTTACCTGGTTATGACTGGCTCAGTTTCCCCTTCCTTCTGAAGTGAGCTATCGTTTTTGGAGCATGTATTATTTGCAAGAGGAAGAGAATGACAGAAGAGGGAGTCAGGCCCTCAGTGGCCACCTAGTGAGGCTGCCATTTTGTTGCATCTGTGTGTGTGTGTGTGTGTGTGTGTGTGTGTGCGCGTGTGCGTGTGCGCGCGCGCGCGTGTATTTTTCAAGGAGGTTCCAGAGGCCGGTGGGGATGGGAAGACAATAGTCACAGAGCATGGCTTGTTTGGATTTTCATCGTCTGGGGTGAGCCACGCACATGCCCAACTGGTTGCCAGGATTCTTGGTGTCTGTGAGAATTTTTCCAAGAATCAGCAAGAGCCCAGGGGGTTTGCATTTGGGTTATGAGGATGTTTTCCTCTCACTTCTGTGCCTTGGGTGGATTGGCCCCGATGAATTGGAAGATGGATCGTTCTAT